GTGTCGTTCCGGGTCTCGTTCGATTGGGTCACTCCTGAGATATCATAGAAATGCTCCAGCCATCTAAGACCCAGAACGAGGCCAGGAACGAGCCGGCCTCACCACCCTCCCAAGAGGAACTCCTCGTTGGGGTGGAGAAGATGTTGGAATGCATGTTTAAACAGAACCAAGAGACTAAGTCTAACCTTCAGGAGCTTGGAAATATGGTGTACGCCATTAAACAGACTCTTTCTCCTCCTCCTGTAGCTCCAGTCGCACCTCCAGAGCCAGTTCCCGCCTGCACGTGCTTGACAGGCCACACTGCGGGACACATCCTCGTCAAACCATCCGAACTTTTTTCGGGAAACCCTGACCAGTGCGGTGGTTTTCTTCTTCAGTGTGAGCTTGCCTTCAACGGAGCCCCAGGACTTAACAACACTGACAACGCAAAGATCACATTCTTCATCAGTCAGCTTAAGGGTAACGCCTTACAATGGGCAACATCTTTTTTGAAGCAACATGAGTTAAGATCTGTTTCGTTTAATTTATTACTCACAGAGTTCCGTAAAATATTTGATAGGCCATTGCAGGGACCCAACGCAGAAAAACGTCTGTTGGGTTTACGTCAGGGCCGGCGACCCGTCTCTGAACACGCCCTCAAGTTCCGCGTCATCGCAGCACAAACTGGTTGGAATGAAAGGGCGCTCCAGGGCACCTTCTTAAATTCCCTTTCCGACCACATAAAGGACCAGATAGCTGCACGTGATGAACCTTCCGACTTTGACGCTCTTGTTAACCTCGCTATTTCCATAGACGAACGTTTTCGGGAGCGTTGCCGTGAGCGACACTTCGACTCCCGGCAATTCTTCACTTCCGGGTTAGGTCCGTCACCAAATAGCTTCCCCGTTGAAAACTACAAATCCCAGAGTCATTTTGCGTCTACGTCATCACCACAGCCTGCGTTACCTGAACCCGAGCCAATGCAAGTTGGACGGGCCCGTTTAACTCCTGCCGAACGGAACAGACGTCAGATTCACAATCTTTGTATTTATTGTGGTAGTAAGGGTCATTATATTGCCTCGTGCCCCATGAGGGGAAACGAGAGTGCCTACCAATAAAGAGAGAGGTATTGGTAGGTACATCCTCATTCTCTCTACAACAACACAGATTAATGTTACCCACCGTAATTCAAAATAATCAGAATCGTTTTTCCGTCTCAGCATTGTTAGATTCAGGTGCTGAGCAAAATCTTATCAGTCAAAAATTAGTTAATGAATTCGCACTTCCCGTAGTAAAGATTCAGCCCCTCAATATTGCCGGTGTTACAGATGAAACCCTCGCCCAGATCAAATATAAGACCACCGATCTTCATTTAATCACGTCCGGTAATCACCACGAGCACACCAGTTTCCTCGTTTTTGAATCCCCTTCCACGCAAGTCATTTTGGGTCATCCTTGGTTTAAAAAACATAATCCACACATTAATTGGGAACTGGGTAGGATCGAGAGATGGAGCGACAAGTGTCTAAAGAACTGCCTTCGCTCCGGTATCTCGAAACCTTCCCAGAACCCCAGTCCCGACGATGAGATTGACATGTCCCAGGTTCCCTCCGAGTATCAAGATTTATCCCCGGTTTTCAGTAAGAGTAAGGCTCTATCTCTCCCGCCTCATCGCCCTTATGACTGCGCCATTGACCTTCTTCCTGGTGCCCCTTTTCCTGC